CCCTATACCTTAAGTTAAGGAGTGAATGTTCCCCCTTCTTTTAGACCTTTGACCTTTGACCTTTGACCCCCCAGCTTCGACATCCCAACTCGTTTTCGGATTACCCCCCCACGTCCCGAATATCGTGACCGTACGTCGAGCGGTTAAGATTTGTGCCCAACTGTTGACGGACGGACGCACGGACGCTCGGACGGACGGACGGACGATCATGCGATTCTACAAGCTGCATCTGACTATGTCAGATGAGCTAAAAATGATAACAATTAAATCAATTAAAACAATTACATTCGCATTTACGCAATTTCCTCGCCGGTAATTACTCCTGACACCGCATCACGGGTGCGCGGAGAGCGGCGGCGGGTAGGTATGATGACCATATCCTATAGGTATGCGCTGCTGACCCAGGGCATGCCGTATCCACGCGTTCACCGCATGCTACCTGCGTCGTGTCACGGCGCGCGACGACACGGCAAGCAGTACGCAGACACGCTGTAGTTAGAGAAGCGGCCTCACAGTGCCACCTATCAAGTCTGCACGAATCACTGCTGCAGTTACTCGCTGCCGATAGGGGGCCGCGTGCGCGCTGATCTAGCTCAATATATAGTTATGTAGCTGCTTGATCGGGCTGTGCGCATCTATGCTCTAGATGTCTGTCTATATACGCGCGAGCTCGATAGCTAGTAGAACCGACTGAATTCCACGTCCATGTGCACCCGGTGTACATCTGCCGGCATGCATGGCTCTCAAGGTTAGTAAGTTTGCCGACCAGATGAGATGTATGTATAACGGACACGCCCACGCATAAACTAGGTCTCGTAGTCCGCAGTATAGTAGCTTCAGAAGTAACATAATAGACACGGTTTATCTATTATTTTGCTCCTGCCAACCCTAGCTACAGATGTCGTTTCCTTCCTATTATTCGATGAAACTAACGTAAAAAAATTACGACAAAACTCACATACATAATCAATTGAACAACGGGTGAACGTTAGCTTCGAAAAAGAAACTCTAAAAATTAATGGCATGCCCATATGCGGGCATACTACCGCAAAAATACATTTCCACTCGAAAATCGCGTTTCCTTTGCGGTGTCGGATAATGGCGTTCCGTCTCCGATAGAGATAATATTTTGCATCGATACACCACAAATAGGCAACAATCAGTTTACAAATCTCGCAGGAATAGCAAAGTGGAAACGACTGCCGATGCACGTAATATCAGCACCGTTTATAGCATGCGTCTCGACAGCTACACAAGCAAGAGTGCATTAACAACTTGTGATGAACTCCTAATACTATTTTAGGCAAAGGGCCGATAATTAACGCAATCACTAGCAATGTTTATGTGCCTGCCATAAATTTATAGGCAAGATTATAAACGCACATTCTCAAAAACAATTAATTTCTGGCCGATTTCGTTTGATGGCAAGATTTGGGCGGGAGGGCATCTATGATATTTGCACTACTGTTGCACTATTCATTCCATATGTCATAACAAATAATCCGAGTGGTATGAACCACTCACCGTTGAGTACACAAAATGGCACGGCACTAGATTTATGGAGATAAATAAAGAATTAATTTTGAAGCTGGCACCACGTGCTAAAAAACAAAAGCTAAATTAATCTGACGCGATATCGCCAGATTTACTGTATTTAGTCCAGTCGCAGTAGTTGCGTTAACGCAGTTCTTTTCTGTCGCCAAAGTGGTTGCACACGACGTGCGTGCGTGCATGGTACGGTGCCAGCTGCAGTACCCGCACGCATGAGGGGCGTGCGTGCGTGCGTGCGTGCGTGCGTGAGGGCGCGTTCACGTGTGAGGGGACTTACAGGCGGGCACGGATCCACGGATGCAGGCTTGATTACGCCGGATCCGTGCGTGCGTGCGTGCGTGCGTGATGACGCGTGTGCGCACACGTGAAGGTGCGGACGTGCTTGCGTGAGTGCGTGTGAACATCCATGCACTAGAGTGCGTGTAAGCTGTTGCATGCGCGTGAGCGTGATGCGGTGGCGTGAGTGTGCGAGAGATGTGTGCAATGTCTGGATTCAGGAGCAAAAGACAAGATGTGAAGTTGGACGACACGACAGAGAGTGGTTGAAAGCTCCAAGGTGGTTACACGGCGAGATAAGAGGATTAATCAATTCTCTTTTCAGGCTCTGTAATAATACGGACGTAATATATATTCACAGCAAAGTAAGGGAAACTCAATATCTCCCGTTTGCTCTCCACATAACAGATATCGCAATTTCGGCCTAAATATACGCTGCAAGTATACCAGGTTTCGAGTATAGTAATCCTAATACAAGGCTGGGTCCTTTAGGTAAATAATCTGATTCGATACAGTAAGCATGAGTGGCTTATAAAAATAGTCACAGTGGGACAAACAGCCCCGCGCAATTATCAATTAAATTGAGTAGTGATTAGATAACTAAGTTATGTGCGGTAATGTTAGGGGAAACGTTAACCCCCTGACGTCTTATAAACTTATTGTGGCGTAACATTGCACCGCGGCTATGAATACAAGAAGACCAGTTTAAGGCTGGTGGGTATACGCTCTATACGTACACGTTTCATCCAGTAGTGTAAATACTGGGCCATGATGCAACACAGGGGGCATCACATATAATATGATTCGGACGACAATTTTTAGCTAAGAAGTGGTATCCGAGAAACTTGTACACGTTTTTACAAAGAAAATTCATTACCAATTCACATTTTACAATGGAAATGCATTTTTCAATAGTTTGAGAAATGAATCCTAAATTATTTAATGAATAATGAGAAAACAAACGTCCATTGTGGCTTTTCAATTATAACCCTAAACCTTCCCCCAAAATATAGACGCTAGACCAGTTATGCGGGCTGCCAAAAACAGATGAGCTTAAAATCGGACCACCTCTCAGCTATATTAGTACAGGGATGTGTGCAATATATCAAATAATCATGTACTTTATCGAAAAACATCCAATCTGACAATGCCCTAAAATATGCCATTATAACTATTATCAGGATAGTGACCATGACAACCCGTTTTCTGGTAAACGTAACAGCGATCTATATGTCATAAGCAAAGTCAGAGCTGGTAAGGGGTGGGGCTGGGGAAGGTCTGGGCTTCCTTACGACTGGCAACTCGCTCGGACATGTCCTGAGCCACAGTCAATGACCACAGCCGCCTTACAATCACGCACCTAACCTATGCTGAGCCACATACACTAACCACGAACGGACAATAAATTAACTTGTCTCGACCAGCTAACCGTACAAATGGTTGACAACAACGAGCAAAAACCAAAAAAAAAAACGGGGACTCACCTATCTCGGCCGCTTCCATGCTATTCCATGACGCGCTGCCCTTGAGTGACTGGGTCACGCGCAGGCTGGACATGGGCACGAGGCCCTCACTGAGACTGCCCGAGGAATCGGAGGCGCGCACGAGACACCAGTCCGGGTTGCTGGGCGAGCGCTCGAGCACGACCACCTCCTGGCCCCTGCTGACGGACAGCTCCTGCTGACAGCAGGCGGCGTGCTCCTGCACGACGGAGGTCACGTGCAGATCACCGCCCTGTGACACGGGGAGAGAGAGACATACGATGACGCACCCGCCTGACCACACGACTACACAGTCACGACACGCGCGCACGCACGAACGGGGCAAATCCCGCGCGCACGCACGCACGGGGCAAATCCCGCGCGCACGCACGCACGGGGCAAATCCCGCGCGCACGCGCACGCACGGGGCATTATTTACGCACGAATGCACGACCACGGGGCAAATTACGCGACGCTATGTAGCATTTTTTCTGCTTACAATTCGCACGTTGAATTCATTTTGGTCAACAGAATATTACAACCGTATATATGATTATGATCATTGATCAAGGAAATTTAACACATACACATTATGACTCCCCACTAGGCAAAATGCATTTAGACCGCCTTATATGGTTAAACAAATTTTTGAGATGGTTCAACCATATAAAACTTTTGCACAAATATGTATAACTGCTCCCCAGAAATTATTACATATAAAATACTATACCATCACATAACACCGTATCGTTAATACACTGCTACAGATGCTTACGAAAAGATGCCGAGTAGTTGAAATTCGTACCTGAGCCACTATAGGCTTCTCGCGATATTTTAAGGCCTTTTATTTTACCTTATACAGCACCCATAGAGTTATTGTTAGCTTCCAAACTGTGTTTTTAATTATTACTAGCAAAATTTGAAATACCATTATTTAGTCCATGAGCCAGACCAAATATTGGTACCACCTGGGGTGGCAAATCCTCACTATGTTTTTTTGAAAGGGCTATATCCATAGATGAAAAAAAAACCATGAAGCAAGCCGAGACTCACAGCTTAATGGTAGAAATTGCCACTTGTATATGGGCACTCGTGGTGGAGCGGCAGGCGCTAATTATGGGGTAGGGGAAATATAAAATTGAATAATTTTGCAGGAAATGGACATATACAGTGACAAATGACCCCTCAAAA